GAACTAAACCTCCCTCTAACACTCTAAAACATTTTATTAAGTTAATCTTTGAATTATTACAGAGAGACCCTTGGGTGGGCAAGAAATTACAAAAACAGAGTATATAAGAGTATGGGCCCAGAATAAGACCCATTACAGAGGAAAACATAAACACAACATAGAATGACAGCCTATGGGCCATTTGGCCCATCTCCTCTACAGCATTCCAGCATACATTCACCATAAAATGCATGCTTGGCACTGCTTGAAAGAGTAAGTGAATAGTGAATACTAGTCAAGGTGAGATGGATGGAATTACAACCTGGCCTCAACAATATGCTGATCACCGAAGAAGAGCCTTTTAAAGTACATAGTTCATGTAGATGTTGCATAACTCAGACAACTACAGAACCTGATAATCAAAGTTAACAAATAGCTGGCATAACAAGTAAATTTATTGCAATTTTTACGGGTATAATTTTACTATGATTTCCATTACTGAGCCTAATGATCCAGTAGTCTAGATGGTCACTTGGCACCCCGCCAAATAGGAGGTGCAGGAGCAAACCCGCTGAACTGCAGGCTCTCTGTGGCATGGCCAGTGGGCCTCATGTGCACCCTGCTCTGCCCTATCCCTGATTCCCCCTGTAATGTGTAGTATGTAATACCAAAAAAGATCATGTTATTATCAAATTAAGACTTCTTCCTTCGCAGTTATACGAAAAGGAAAAAATATAAGATTCCTAGGAAAATCATATTGAGTTTTCTATTGAGTTCCTATAACAGATTGAAATAGAATCCAACAAATCAAGCATAACAACCATGAAACACATTTACATAACCACTCTTCCGGTCCTTCTGCCCTAAGAATGTAATGAAACATTATTATGTTGTCAATTTGCAGTGCTCTAATAAGAAATTCAAAGTAGTAAACAAGAAGTTCTAAAAGGTCAGATTGATATATAAAATATTTAAGCATGCAAAGAAGAAGATTGACAAAACTGTACCAGAATAGTGACAGCTTCCTTGACAACTCCTGCTATTGTCACAGTTACTGCACTGGTTACTGATACAAGAATATATTCTGTTAAAACCTACAAAAGGAAGAAAGGAAAATCAACATATAAGACATCAAAAGAAAAGAACAATGTAAATAATCTGTATAGATGATGAGAAAATGCTTTTTAGAAATTATATAAATCCTTAATCAATTTCCAGTAATGAAAAAAGCTAGGGTTCCACCAGTAGGATTTATCACAGTTGGTAGAGAATATAAAACCAAATTATTACCATGAAAAAAGCTAGGGTTCCACCAAAAAGCATTAGCAAGCAACTTCGAAAAACATGCCATGAATTATTGAAGTAGTTGTTCCTTTTGAATTCATCCCATGGGTCCATTATAAGAGAGAGAATAAAAGTTGCTACTGCCATTACTGGAGCCACATGGCTCATAAAAGTAATCGGATCCTTTAAACCTGAAAGAATTCAAACAGACATAATTTGGAGAAGTTTTCATTCAGTATCAATTAAAAGAATTTTCACCCTTATTCAAAAAATGATGGGATCAATTACATCTTCTGCAGAACTTTTAGAAAGAAAAGAAAGATAAGCAAAATGCTTAGCCGATACTATATCTGGTTAGAATTACAAGAAAAAAGAAAAACATTTAGGCAATAATATGGTTAAAATTGATGATTCCACAAACATCCATAAACGTCATGTAGATGGGCATATGCATGTTCATATTTCTCTTTACCAAGATTTTGGAATTTGTACTAACTCAAAATGAAGTTCAAGAAAAGAAAGTTTACTGCTTACCATAGGATTCTTTCTTCATGTCGATTTTGATTTGAATTGGCAATGAAAAGAAGTAGAGCAAATGTCAGATTTCGAAACAATAAAGCAAACCAAAAACAGGAAACAATAAAATAAAAAGTGGCAGTACTTTAAAATATCTTATTACATTAACAGATAATTAAACCTAGAATCTTTAATTAGAAAAGTAGATTGAGAAATGGAAGCAAGATAAGGCATACCTGCAAAAGAATCTGTGTCATGCACCAGCGAAACCCAGACATAACATCAGCAAGCATAACAAAAATAAAACCCCAAAATTCAAATTCTGTCTCCTTTGCAACTGGGAAGAAGATTTGGATGGGTCATGCAACATCATACAAGAAAAGACAAAACCAGACATGATGAACTCGTAACAATGAGAAAAAAGCCATAACCAGTTAAAATAGCATGCAAAGAAACAAATCTAGCAGTACTTTTTCCATTAGTGAAAAAAAAGAAAAGCCAAAAAAAAGGTCAATATCTGGTTAAATGTATGCAAACAAACATCTAATAAATATAGATGTTTATCCCAAGCATATAGATGTTTGAGAATGGAATTTTTTACCTCTCAGGAAATGGGGAGAGTTCATGCAGAAATCAATGCTCTCAATCTTGGAATTTTGAACCTGTCACCTATCAAGAAATGGGGAGAGCCCATGCTCATTGCAGTTATATTGAGCATTTGGGAAGGAAGAACTCCAGGATATTTTTGGATAGATCAATTTCAGCAAGCATTTATAGATTTGATTACTGTCAGATCTGCTTATTGGATTGTAGTTTTCCACTCTAATGAAAGCAATTTTCAAATAGAATTAAGAGAATAATAATCACTCTCTATCTTGAGGCTGAGAGCTTCAATCTGGAAAAGGATCTCTCACTACAGGGTCCTCTGTCCCAGAGAGAAGAGTTCCTTATCCAGGATTCTTTACACCATTTCAAAACCAAGTATCATGTAGGATTTTTTTTTTTTTTAAGTAAAGATGAATACATGAGAAGGAAAAGAAGCTCTATGCCAAAATAATTTTGTAAGACAGGATGAGATGCATTGCAAAAGTAATTGGTGAGTAGAAAATGTTAAATGAAAATAAAAAAATAATCAAAATTCAGAAGTATTAATCTACTATATACATACATGAACTTCAAAGGGGAAAACACAAAATGAAAACAGGTGAGAAAGAAATCCTGCAGATATATACATGCCACTAAGATCCAGAACAGCATGTGCGAACTTGCATAGCTTTAGCCCTTGCCAAAAAGAAATTTGGAATGCAATTTCACAGAGTAAACAAACATGGAAGAGCCCATAATGGCTTGCTACCTTAAAAGAATAGAAAGTTCTTGACATCCATCCAAGTTCATATCAGGTGGATCCAAAAAGAGTTGAGTTCCATAGCAAATGGACTTGCTAACGTGGGTCCAGAAAGGGCTTTCATATATAGAAAAAGCTCCATGCCTAACTTTCCCTTTATCTTGTTGTGCACTGGGACACATCCTTTCATGTATATATTTTCCAAAACTAAAAAAATCATATTTTGACCTAGGGCTCTGGCAACTTGCAGGCACAGAAAACATCAGAGACACTGGAGTTGTACCCGGGGGAGGATTCTCCGACACTCAAGTTAAAAAAGGAAGAGGAAGAGTAGAACATTGGGTAAGAAAGGAATAACAGAATATTCTTGGACAAGAGTAGAACAATTGAGGAGGTAATCGACACAATTAAAGTTAAAGTCGCTCATTGGGTAAGATCTTTGCATATCTTTCAAGATTTCTCAGTCATAGATGTTTGCTGAAATAGAGCTGTCGAATGAGAGAAGAAGAAGAAGAAGAAGAAGAAG